GAAATATTACAAACATGTAACATGATGCAATACTGCTTATTAAAAACACATTATGTTAATATGCTAGCAAAACAGCAGCCAAAAAGTAGAATGTGCATGCATGCAATGTAGTCTTCTGTATTAGCCTGCCTGATTTACAAAAAAAGGATTTCCTATCGATTCACATGCAATTGTAGCTCGAGTGGATGACTGAACATTACAATAAAATTATTTTGTCATTTCCTCCATAATAACCGGGGAGCGGATGAGGCTTTCACTCCTCGCCTACCTGATCAACATCGCTGTCGGGTTCGGGTTTTCATTCGGGTCTCACCGGCTCGGTACCACCTGTGCATTCATCTATAAGCACCAGAGATATAATCCAGAAGCCCGTCCTCTCCCTTGTGAGGTTCACCGGGGCTGGGCTGAACTATAAAAAGCACAACAGCAGCAGAAGCGCTGCGTGTTTCCAGCGCTAGTAAAGGGCTCGCAGGTCTCTCTTTTAGATGATGCTGATGCTGATGCTGTGTGTGCAGCCGAGAGCGCGAGCATACAGAAGCGCTCGCTCGCGCACACACTCACGCGCAGCGGAATATAAGGGGACGGGCTCGAGGCAGGTCAGAGCGGCGGCGGAGTGACGTCAGGTGCCCCGGAATGAATCTCCGGTTCAGGGAAAATAAATAATTTGGAGAAACTGCATTTGCACATCGGAGAGACTTAAGGTAAACGTCTAGAAACTGGGCCAGGCAAATTTGACAGTTTGTGTATAGTGACACAAGGTCTCTATATCTTTAAAGTGCCCCTATTATGGGTAATGAAAGGTTCATATTTTGGTTTTGGGAGTCCCCAACAACAGGTTGACATGCACGCAAGGGCAAAAACACTTTCATTGTCTTATAATATGCATTTATTTTTACCTTATTTGCTCAACGACTCCCAAACAATTCGCTCAACGATTCATTTTTCCAAACCCCTCCTTTGCTTGACGCTAATCTGGTCCGACTGGTCTCATTTTCATTTCATCCTGCCTGTAATGCCTGATAAAGCAGCGTTTGTGAGTGCAGTGCTGCTTTGTGTACAGCGTTACCGGGGAAACCGCTATTTTTACGGCTCCAAAAGCGGCACCTAGTGGCAAATAATGAATTTGCAGTTTCATTCATACCAACAGAAAAGACCAACAAGTGGGCGGGCAATATGCTAATGTTTCATGTTGACGTCAACATGAAACGCTTGGGATTCGTTTTAAAAATGACTCATTTCAATTATTCAGAGTCGACTCTTTCTTTGGAGAGACAATAACTTTATACACGGCAGCGCTTATTTGATTACAGCCGTTACTGGGGAAACCTCTATCTCTCCTGCACTACAAGCGCCTCCTGCTGGCAGAGAATGAATTTGCATATATATGCCGCCACAAATAGAGTGCAAGTCTGTGGGAAACACCGCTTCTGTTATGAATATTATTCAGTATTTTAATTTGAATGTGGATTGAAATGAACACTGTTATTAGAGTAGTTAATCGTTAGCATAAGCGCGGCTAATGCTAATATAATGAGCATTAGAATTAAGTTTTTTATTAACTATTTAATACTATTTAATAACTTTTATTAGGGTAAAAAAATGGATTAAATGAAAGTATAGTCAAATTTTTTAATTAGCATGTTTTTGTGTTTTGCTTTGGTACCGAAATTGGTACAGAGAACCGTGGATTTTCACTGGTTCTGATTTCGAATTTCGAATACTGAAATTTTGGTACCGTGACAACACTAGGGGCACTTTAACATCTACATAACAATAGTTTTTGTACATTTTTCTTGTAGTTCTGAGAGACCATACATTTGACTGTTTAAAATCACACTCACTGTACATGATTATATGATAATATTCGCTAATATGTGATATATAATCATGATTAAATGTCGGCTAATGATTTTGATAGGGAGATTGGGGTAAACCGACACACTTTTTACTCCAGTGAATATCTCTTAGGCTAAGTTTATTTTTAAAAGTCAATTTTATGGCTATAAAGAAAGAAATTAATAAACAAACCAGGGCGTGTTCCAAGGATCCAACATGTCACAATGGATCCTCCTGGATGATACTGGAATTTTAAATTGGAGGACATAATTCAAAACATTTTCATTTAAAGGGGTCATATGATGCCCATTTTCCACAAGTTGATATGATTCTTTAGGGTCTTAATGAAAAGTCTATAACACACTTTGGTTAAAATTTCTCAATGGTAGTGTAAAACAACACCCTTTTTACCTTGTCAAAATCAGCTGTTTTCAGCAACCCGTTTTAGTGCATGTTCCTTTAAATGCTAATGAGCTCTGCTGACCCCGCCCCTCTCTTCTGTGGGGTGGAGATTGAGGTCTCTGCAGAGCAAAAGTTGGCGTTTCTGAATTTGTGGGTGTTTTCAAATTGCAGGGTGTTTCTCAATCATGCAATCAAAATGATTCCCCTTACCTAACCCCACCCCTAAACCTACCGTCACTATGATGTTAGCCAATCAGGAAACATGGTCTAAAAATGCCCCAATCCTTGTCAAAATCAGCTGTTTTCAGCAACCCGTTGTAGTGCGTTCCTTTAAATGCTAATGAGCTCTGCTGCCCCCGCCCCTCTCTTCTGTGGGGTGGAGATTGCGGTCTCTGCAGAGCAAAAGTGGGCGTTTCTGAATTTGTGGGTGTTTTCAAACTGCAGGGTGTTTCTCAATCATGCAATCAAAATGATCCCCCTTACCTAACCCCACCCCTAAACCTACCGATATTTACAGCCAATCAGGAAACATGGTCTAAAAACGCCCCAATCTGGTAACTCCCATTACTTTCCTGCAGAGACCTATACTTGGTGGGGTGACGAGCCGTTCTCATGAGACTGTTTACTTTAGCTGCGGAACTGGCTAACTAGCACATTATTAGGAAAGGTGATTTGCAAAGATTCATAAAAGAACCGTATACTCACTTCTTTGTAGGTGAAGCTGGATCACGAATGATTCGTGCAAACATAGATGCATTTAGTTAGATTGGGGGGTGCATTCCCAGAGCATGTCTCGGGAGTAAATGAAGACTGCCATGTTCATTATTACATCCAACAACAGAACAAATGCTTGGCTAAAAGATGACTTGAATCTAGATTTATACAGAGAAAGTGTGTCTGAACCCTAAACGTTATCAGATCTATTATTACATCCAACAATCGCTTAGGTGACATTCTTGTCTATTCCTGCTCCGGCGTCGAAACAATGGCGGATTGATGACAGCTCACTCAGGGCGGGTCTCGGCAGTGTCAATCAACAATCGTGGGAGGGGCCTGGGTCTGTGTGACATCACACAGACAGGCATTCTGAGAATAGGCTTGTTTGAGATGCGCCTTGCCTAAATACACTGAACAAAATTATAAACGCAACACTTTTGTTTATGCCCTCATTTTTCATGAGCTGAACAC